TAGATTCTCTTGATTTTACAGATTTTGAAATTTGCACAAATTGCATAAAGGGAAAACAAACAAACATAAGGAGATTTGGTGCCAATAGGGCTACAGATGTCTTAGAACTGATACATACAGATATTTGTGGGTCATTTCCTACGGTTTCATGGAATGATCAACAATATTTTATCACGTTCATAGATGATTTTTCACGTTATGGCTACCTTTATCTCGTTCATGAAAAGTCTCAATCACTGGATGTGTTCAAATCGTTCAAAATTGAAGTTGAAAATCAACTCCGCAAAAGGATTAAAAACGTCAGATATGACCGCGGTGGTGAATATTATGGTAAGTATGACGGTTCAGGTGAACAACGTCCGAGACCATTTGCTAAATTCCTAGAGGAGTGTGGTATCGTCCCACAGTACACCATGCCAGGTTCTCCAAGTATGAATGGTGCTACTGAAAGGCGAAATAGAACGCTCAAAGACATGGTAAGGAGTATGATTAGTCATTCTAACTTGCCAAAATCACTCTGGGGTGAAGCATTAAAGAATGCAACATATATCATTAACAGAGTACCAACTAAAGCAACTACTAAAACCCCTTATGAACTTTGGACAGGCAAGAAGCCTAGTCTAAAACACTTACACATTTGGGGATGTCCAGCTGAAGCAAGGCCTTACAGGCCACATGAAAAGAAACGGAATTTAATAACGGTTAGTTGCTATTTTATTGGATACTTCGAAAGATCCAAGGGTTACAAATTCTATGATCCTACTACTAGATCAATTTTTAAGACGGGAAACACCCGGTTCTTTGAGGATGTTGAGTTTGATGCGGGAGATAAAGATAGAGATTTTGTTTTTGCAGACGAATATGTTGATATTCCCACAGCTATTGCTGACATTGATCAAGCTCCTATACCTGACATTGTTTAAGAAGCAGATCCAAATCAAAACAATATCCATGAACCTCCCGTTCCAGAAGAACAAACTCTACCTCCTCCAGAACCTACACCATTAAGGAGATCCACTAGAGAAAGGAGAAGTGTAGTGCTAGATGATTACTTTGTATTTCTCCAAGAACATGATTTTGACATTGGTGTGGTGGAAGATGATCCAATCAACTTTCGTCAAGCCCTAAAAAGTTCTAAATCTCAAGAGTGGATTAATGCCATGAATGAGGAGATAAAGTCCATGAAGGACAATGACGTTTGGGATCTTGTCCCATTGCCTGAAGTTGTGAAACCCATTAGTTGCAAATGGATATTTAATACCAAGAGGGATACGAAAGGTGATGTAGAGAGATACAAAGCTCATCTTGTCGCTAAAGGCTTAACACAAAAAAAAGGCATCGATTATAAAGAGACTTTCTCTCCTGTTTCATCGAAAGACTCTTTTAGGACAATAATGGCATTTGTGGCGCACTTTGACCTTGAGCTTCATCAGATGGATGTTAAGACTGCATTTCTCAATGGTGACATTGATGAAACAATCTATATGGTGCAACTAGAAAATTTTGTGTCAGGAGATGCAAAGAAGATGGTTTGCAAGTTAAAGAAATCCATCTATGGGCTTAAGCAAGCTTCTCATCAATCGTATTATAAGTTTCATCAAGTTATCATTTCGTTTGGTTTTGAGATGAATATGATTAATAATTGTATATACCACACGTTCAGTGGGAGTAAGCATATTTACTTGGTTTTATATGTTGATGACATATTGCTTGCTACCAACGATATAGGCATGTTGCATGAAATCAAGAGATTTCTATCAAAGAAATTTGAGATGAAAGATCTTGGTGATGCTTCTTTTGTGTTGGGTATACAGATACACTGGGATCGCTCTCGGGTACACTTGGCTTATCACAAAAGAGCTACATCGAGAAAATTCTTAAAAGGTTTGGCATGCATGATTGCAAACTAGGTGACACCCCTATGGCTAAAGGAGACAAATTTAGTCTCAGTCAATGCCCCAAGAATAATTTTGAGATTCAGGAGATGCAAAAGATTCCTTATGCATCAACAATAGGAAGTCTGATGTATGCTCAAGTATGTACGCGTTCGGATATTACGTACATTGTTGGCATGTTAGACAAATACTTGAGCAATCCTAGAAAGGATCATTGGGTAGCAGCCAAGTGAGTCATGAGGTACTTACAGAGAACAAAAGACTATATGTTCACTTATTGAAAGTCAGATCAGTTAGAGATCATTGAATATTCTGACTCCAATTTTGTTGGATGTCGAGATAGCATAAAATCTACTTCAGGCTATATCTACTTACTTGCTGGAGGTGTTATATCTTGGAAGAGTGTTAAACAGTCTATTGTAGCTTCTTTCACCATGGCAGTTGAGTTTGTTAGCTTGTTATGAGGCGTCCAATCATGGAATATGGATGCGAAATTTTGTCATGGGGCTGCGTATTCTAGATGGCATTGACAGACCACTTAAGTTATTTTGTGACAATAAATCAGTAGTACTATATTCCAACAACAACAGGAGTTCGACGAAGTTAAAATTTATAGACATCAAATTCCTAGTTGTCAAAGAAAGAGTTCCGAGTGGACTTATATCTATAGAGCACATTGGGACAAACTCCATGATTGCAGATCCACTGACTAAGTGATTATCACCCAAGGTTTTTCATGAGGACACTGCTCATATGGGCGTGGTTTCTCTTCAAGATATATCGTTTTAGTAGGAGTTTGTATTTTAGATGCTTTTGTTTATAGATACATTTGTTATGGATTTTATGGTTATTTACTGTAGTAAAGTATTCAGTTTTCATTCACTCTGATTTTGTATAGTTTGATCTCACTAAGGTTTAAGGAGGACTAATTGGAAATAGGCATGTTAAGATCACATTGCATGAAATTTCCATGCTACATATCCACACTTGATCTTTGTCATTAGTTGCATTGATATATGTGATCATTGATGGGTTTAGTTACGAAATATGTAACGACAATCGCTGTGGTTCTGTATTGGTGTGGTTGATGGACAAGATTGTTAAAATATATAAAGTTTTGATAGCAAAACTCATGAGCTCATAAAGTATAATTCATGTTTATAAAGTTACATATATAGCCCAAGTGGAAGATTGTTAGAGTAAAATTAACTATATGGGCTTATGTATTAAATAAATGTAAATTATAGGCTATCAAATAAAGTTAGGCTAATTAAAGTGATTAATTTAAGTTTTGGGGCCTTAATTAATATATTATAAAATGTGGGCATTAATGTGTAGAGACAAACATAATTTCTATTTTTATGATGGGTTAAATAAAAATTACGAACAAGCGTGACTGCTTATAAACATACACGATTGTTTATAAATAGGGGTTATGGTCCCCAGATCACACAACGATTTTTTCTATTCTTCTGATTCCTATTGTCAGATAGAAATTTAGACAGAAAACAAGTGTAGATCTGAAAGATCATAAAGTCTCAGACTCAAATATTTCAATATTTTGTTATGGATTCAGGTACGCTTCTGCAAATCCAATATTTTAATTCTTCATAATTCAATATAAATGTTCCTGTTTGTGTGATGATTTTCACAAAATGAAGTTAATCTTATATGACCTTCTTCACTTGGACTCTTAACAAAGGGTTCAAACATGCCTACTTCCAATCCAGCTCTCTCAGGTGGGCTTATCATGGCCAGCTAAGGCATAGATTTTACATCATTGAGAAAGGTGTAAAACGAAGTTTTCGTTCAAGTCTATCAAGTTGAACATACAAGTCGAGCCACAAGTTATTTTGAATTCAACTTGTTTTGAAAAATGAGTGTAAAAGTTGAACTGATTTGGTTCATTTGACGAAATGAACGCTTGAATAACCCAATTTTTTTTAATCTTAAGGAGTAGTTTAAATAATAATAAAGATGAGTTGTAAACTTAAATATCTTAAATTTGAATGTTGATAACTTCTTAGAGTTAGGCTATGTCTCAGTATAGATGACCTACCTTTGATCAAATTGGAGCAAAGATTAGTCCAAATATACGTAAATTAGTCTAAATTCACCTCACCATTGAACAAAAACCAAAAAAAAAAAAAAAGAATAACCCAACTTTATGTTTTTTTTTTTTTGATCTGATCCCAACTTTATGTTAAGTTCTATGCCATCTTAGATCCTGATAAACACAAACAACTAGTGCAAAACCTTTGGTGGTTTTAGGGTGTAAGTAATGCTGCAATCTTATTTTAGCTTCGGTTTCTCATACCAAAAAAAAAACCATAAAAAAAAACAAAAACAATTAAAAAAAACATCCACCAAGTTTCGATGAGTTTCACAACACAAAAACCATAACGGTACCTTAAAATCATAGAAATATTATTATATAAACCAGTAGATTTTGCCAAAATAATGGCCAACATGTTTTCTTCAATTCAAATTGGTTGGATACCTTAGAATCCCCCACTAAGACTCTTGCTCCACCATGAACCACATTTTTTTTGTAAGTTCATCATCGATTTATAAATGAACTTCTGAAATTCCTCTCTGGTATCAATCTCCTAATAAATGCTGCAAGAAAATATGGCAATTTAGTTTTCAGTGACAATGATTGTATTTGAGCATGTTTTTTAAAAGGTAGTTTAAGTGTTAATAGGAATGAATTGTAAACGCGGATGTTTTGATTTCCAATCTTGACAATCTTTTGGAGTCAGGTGATGAGGGATTTATTTCTCATGAATATCCTAGACCTAACGTAAATGACTTGTTTTTTGACCAGACTGAAGAGGGGATTAGTCAAAGTGTGCGTAAAATAGTCCTGACATCCCTAACCGTTGAAACAAAACAAAAAGTATTTAGACATGTTGTTGAGATGAAAAATGTTATGCTTACCAAATGAGTTGGTAACTCCATATCACTCTTGGACCCACCAAATACTAAACAAAATATTTTTAATTGGATATAGAGTTGCAAACTTATTTGATAAAAGTACTTTTTTGGTAAATATTTGCTAAGTATAACATTACTCTTTTGTGAGAGAGAGGGAGAGAGAGGGGACTACCTAGAGCAGTCCATGTTGTTAGAAATGGGAAAGCTATTGTGCATGCCACAACTACGAAAAACATGCTTAACACGGGACTTCTTGTACTCATTATTCCCCATTTGCTCAATGCACTCACAGATCCTCGTCGGACCTCCGCTCTGATCCTTAGCAATCATGTTAAGTTGCTGGAGACTCTCACAACATTGAGGTGACGGATAGCTGTCGCTCCCTTCAACGAAGCCCTGACACAATGCAAACCTTGGAGCGATGTCCGAGCAATATTCAGGGTTGCCGTAGTCGCCATAGTCGTTGCCATACTTGCTGTGGCGGCGACCAAAGGGGTCGAAGCCGAAGTGGCTGGAGAAGTGAGCCATGGAAGTTCCCAAAACTGCAAAGAAAATGGTTAGAAAAGCAACAAGTTGAGCCATTGCTTGTATTGTATCAAGGTTAAGGGTGGTGGTGCTTTGTTTATTGTTGTTTAAGATGGGTGGTTTCTAAATATATGGTGGTGGACATTTATACAGTGCTTGGTTTTTTTCAAAAAATAAATTAATTACACTCGAAGACCTGTTTTTCCGAAAAGTTGAAACGGTATGACTTAATAGAGTTTTTTTTATTAGTTTCATTATTATGGTTCATCAATTTTTGTAACTGGTTAAGAGTAATTTTATGAGTTACAGGCTTTACTTCACTCCATAAATTGGTAATGGTTAAGAATAATTTTATACGTTACCCTCTTTACTTCATTATTTTTTTTTTACCTTGGATGTCGTTGTGTTTACTATGAGAAAAAATGCTTTATTTCTCAGTTGTCTCTTGAATATTCTTTCAAGACAAGGAACGTACCCCATTACAAGCATCAAGGAATAAATTGAATAACAAACATGAACTGAAAGAATAAAACTAGCTATAATCCGAAGGAATATCTCAAATGGTAATAGGGGCGAGCTGCAAACCTGGACATCTAAGTTTAAATCTTGGTAATTCCTTGAGATTAAGTTACGAGAAATTTATTTTTCATAAATATTTTAATCCCAACATTGACGACTTGCCTTCGATTATATAGGAGAAAAGATTAGTTGGGGTGCGCATAAATTAACCCGAACACCCTTGACAGTTAAACCAAATAATAATAATAATAATAATAACTAGTTATAGTCACATCTATAAGTAGGTATGGGTGTGATTGTGTGTGTATATGGTTTTTTTTTTTGTGCTAAATAAGTCAAAACAATTGTTTTAATAGATTAAAAAAAATCTTTGGTTTTTTTTTGAAGGGGACCTATACTTGTGTTAATTAGTGCACATGTGCATTGCACGATAATCTTTTGAAGGATGAAATATTGTATACTTTCATGAACTATTTTCCCAAAAATTCAACCAAAGTAAAAATTGATGATTGATTAGGGAACTATGTATCCCATACCAATAACAAACTAATCCATTCAAATCTAAAGCACAGGTGTACCACAATTTCATTATTTTTATTTGAACCACCACGAGAAAAAGAGAATAATGATTCTAATTATCTATTTGGTAACTCAATTGCAATTTCAAAACATTTGTTTCTTACCTTTCCTAACTTTCGTAATCAACAAGCAGAAACTATTAGAGGAGGGTGGGCAGCAAGTCAACTTAAGCTTAAATTGAATTTTTCAAAAAAATTGTCAATATTTAGTTAGATAAAACCAAAAAGCAAAGCACAAATCTTTATAGATACAAATGTGAAAGTAAAAATGACTAAAACTCACATGGCATGGAGCTTCTAAAGTAAACAAATGAGTCCCTTTCTTAGGGGTGCAACTCGGGCGAGTTGGGCGGTTGAGAGGTCAACCCTAGTCCAACTCTAAATATATAATCATCAATCCTACCCATAAGTCTAACCCTACATCAAACCAAGGTACTCACCCCAAGTACTAACCGAGTTTAATTTGGGCAGGCTCGGGTTGAATGCGGGTTACTTAATTCGGACTGATTTCGGGTTAAAAATTGGGTTGGTTTGAGTTATTTAATTTGGGTGATTTTTTGAAGTGTAGATTGATTTTTTTCAAGTGTAGATTTAATTTTTTCAAGTGATCTGAGATGAAGGCGCGCAGGTGCAGATAAAGAGAGAGGGAGGAGTGATGAGTGAGAAAGGAAGGCTGTGAGTTTAAGATGCATCAGACGAATGACGATTGAAAGAGGCAGGGCTGCGAGAGGGAGTGACGAGTGAGAGAGAGATTTGAGGAGTTATAGAGGCGCAGGGTTGAAGAATTGAAGTGAAGTAAAAATTTGAAC